GTTGGGCGGTGGGTAGAAATCAAAGAACATAGGGAGAGTATAATAGGTATTCTGTCCTAAATGGTGAGCCCTTCTCTCTGCCAGGACAGAAACACAGGTAGTGTCAGGACAGGAACTGGACCTCGGATGGTGTCCCCCAGCAGATCACAGCACTGTCCCAGACCCAGGCTGGAGACATATGTCCCAGCCCCTGGCAGGCTCCCCTCTTTGCTAACCATGTGTGTGGCCAACGCTAAAGTGGGACCTGTGTGAATGTCTAGAAATGCAGATTCCTTGGCTGTCAGACTAACTTATCAGGATTCAAGGTGTGAAGCACTCTTAACTGGTTACATGGCTGTGACCAGCTGCTTGGGAGCTGCCCAGCCCTGACCTTGTGGGAGGCAACAGATGATCAGACACTCCGGCCCTTGAAATGTGTATTGAGCATACACCATCCAGTTGCTTGTCTCCCTCCTTTTCAGCTTCTGTTCCCAAGGCCGATCTCGGACCATTTTGACATTTGATAGGAAACCTCAGCACTGAAGTGTAACTCACATGTGGTAACTTGGTCTGGTAGCTGTGTCACCAGGTGACTTCACTCTGAGTGATCTGCCTCCTTGGCTTTCCAGGCAAAGTGGAGACATCAGCTCAGGGCTCAAGCTGAGTCCTCAGACCTGCTAGCACTGTCGCTGAGGCCCGTGGTCACCGTGTGCTGGGGTGGTCTCAGCTCCTCAGTGATTCCTGCTCTACCTTCTCTTTGAAAATAAGCCACCAAGAAATGCCACTATCTGTGGACCCTTCTCTCTCTTATGAGCCCAGCCCTGGAGAGTACCACTTGGTTCTCAGGGAGCATGTGGCTTGAGTTTACCTGTGTTTTCCTGTTCTGCTTTGAGCAGAGGCTGATTTAGTAAAAACAGTAGTGAAGTTGTTTGCAATTCTGGTTTAGTTGATTGATTCAAAATGTAATAAGGGTTTTAGCATTTTTAAAGAAAACTTTTTTCCTATTCAATAGTAACCTTAGAACAGAGTTTTTCAACCCAGACACAGTCGGCATTCTGGCTGGTCAGTCTCCGGTGCCGGCATCCTGTGCACTGTAGGAAGGTGAGCAGCATCCCTGCCCCCACCCACAGTAGATCCCAGCCAAGTGACAGCCACAGTACCTCCAGGCATCACTCCATTGTCCTCTGTCCCCTCTGCTGGAGCACCTCGTTTCCTTTCTCCA